GACATCCGCCACATTTCTGGAGCAAACAACTCCGCAGCCGACGCACTATCTCGAATAGCTTCGATAAACTATATCGAGGGTATTGATCTCGTTGAACTAGCTCGGCGTCAAAAGGAAGACCTTGAGCTGCATCATGAGTTGTCGTCCACAACTCTCAAACTGCGACTTTGTCCTGTTGGATCAGACAAGGATACAATTTTGTGCGATGTCTCTGCTAGTCAACCACGCCCAATAGTTCCGAAGAGTTGTCGACGCAACGTCTTCAATACGTTGCACAAACTCTCTCATCCAGGTGTACGAGCCACCATTAGGCTTATCGCACAACGTTTCTGCTGGCCTGGGATGAACAAAGACGTTAAGGAGTGGGCCCAGTCGTGCTTAGCTTGTCAAAAGTGTAAAGTCACGCGACACACGAAAAGCCCTTTAGGCTCATTTCTAGCCCCAGACATGCGTTTCGACCACGTCCATATAGATATTGTAGGACCCCTACCAGAATCTAATGGATGTACCTACCTTTTCACTTGTGTTGATCGTTTCACACGATGGCCGGAAGCAGTACCCATTAAAGATATTACTGCCGAAACAGTTGCTCGTGTTTTCGTCGAAAGATGGATCGCGAACTTCGGATGTCCATCTTACGTCACAACCGACCGTGGGCGCCAATTTGAGTGTGGACTATTTCACGCTCTAACGGCACTTTTAGGTTGCACTCGGTTCCGAACGACAGCCTACCATCCACAAGCAAATGGCATGGTAGAGCGTTTCCATCGACAGCTGAAAGCTTCCCTTTCAGCTACAAACATACCTCAGTGGACCGAGGCTCTGCCTCTAGTCCTACTAGGTATTCGTAACGCGTTGAAAGTTGATGCTGGATGCACTCCTGCAGAACTCGTCTATGGGACCACTCTTCGCCTACCAGGTGAGTTTGTTTCCCCTTCAACTTTCAAACATGTTTCCGACAGGGCATCTTACGTGACTAGGCTTACAAACGCAATGCGTTCAGTTAGGCCTTCTCCGATTAGACCGCAAACGACTGATGTTTTCGTCCACCCCAGTTTACAGAAGACATCACACGTGTTTGTTCGCCACGACGCTGTTCGTCGACCACTTGAACCACCCTACGACGGGCCGTTCAAAGTGATTAAGCGACACGAGAAATTCTATATAATTGAGCGAGACGGACGTGAAGATACTGTCAGTATCGACCGTTTGAAACCAGCTTATTTCGAAGGCAACCCCATTATAAGTGACGTTTCAGCTCACTACAGCCGACCGACGGATGACTCAATTATCGAAATTCTCGACGATGTGCCTGGTAATGCACAGCTGCAACAACCATCGGCGCAACAAAAACACGATCAGGTCGAATCGTCAGGTTCTCGGAGTATCTGAAGTCGTATTCAACTTAGTGGCGTGAAATAAGATGTGCCAACCATATTCTCTTTAATTCGACATTTTTTCAGAGTCACTATTTTTCTTATCTACCAGCAATGCGAAACTCCCCATACATTTTGCCTTTTTATGTCAATTTTTTTATTACCATGCAATGAAGCTTTAAAAAAAGGTGAAGATAAGCGTAAACTTTTATTTTCGATATGTTTATATATAAATAATTCCCAATTTTAAGAAACGTTTTCGTGGTATTAAAGACTTTCATTAATATTCCAGGTGCAACGAGCACTGGACGGAACGTCAAAGAAATCTGAAGGCCGCGATCGACGTCTAACTCGATTTATTGTATTTTATTATTTAATTGCCACGACACCCTAGAATAAGTTCAGACAACCAGGGGACACTTCACGCAGTGAGCTCATCGGAAGAGTTTTACCAGTGGAGAAACCACTGGAATTTCGCTCCCAGCTGGTATCGTCTTAGGGTCCTGACGAACTCACTAGGGGGGAGTGATCTGTAGCGCCACACACTCCCCCAAAATCAATAGCCCAGGGTTTGACGACTTCCAACATTGATGCTGACCTTGATAGTTTAACTGGACTCGCTAAGCTGAAGGCACCCGGTCAAGCATCCTCGCCACTCGGCACGCTGTCGTGTTACGTTGCACTGCTCGTATTCGACTCTCTAGCCAGTTAGTTGGAACTCATCGGTATTTTGGCACAACCATCCAAATATACTATTCCATCCGACTATGCTATCGTGTTCTTCCTTGGTCTCATATTCGTGGGTATATGACAAGTCTGAATAATTAGTGATTAATCTTTGCGTCTGTCAAGTTTGCATTAGGACAGAACCCTAAATCGCAAGGAAATTTGTATCATGAAATTGAATAATCTTAGGGATATCAAAAGTGAAATAAAAAGTTGAAGGGTAAAGAAAGTGGCGAGTTGAGTAACTGAACGTACATCTGCATTCTTAGATACACCTTGAGTTGTTGGATTACAAGTGTTTCTGCCGTGCACAAGCTTCAAAAGTACAATCTCTTTTGACGTCCCCCCCCATGATGTTGTGAATGACGTTGAAGATGCACTCGGCTGGAATTTTGACTGCTATGCGATCGCTGCCAGGGAATCCTCGGGCAACTTGAAAAGTAAAAAGGAATAACCTATCGGTGAAAACGAGGTCAAGTATGCTATTGTGTCTGGTTAGTTGCACTACATGCTGGCGCCATCTCCCAGAATCTAACACGCCAATAAAATTATCAAACCGCGGGTCGATGTTGATCACAGCGGGTAGTTTATGCGATTATTTCCAGAGTACGATGATATCTCACTCGTCCTTATGAGCGTTTATCTGGTAACTATGAAGGATAATATTCCACAACCAGGTAAGGTCCATGCTACCATCCAGTCTTACCAATGCACAGAGTGCACTGCCTGAACACTCTCTGAATCGGTGGAAAGCGCATCAGTTTTTGAAACCCGCTCATATCACTTACATTTATTTGAAGATCAACGTTATAACTCAAGGCACTACAGACCAGTAGCTATTTTGCCCACACACAGCAGTCACGAAGTTACTGTAGCAGTTGAAAGTACTGCTGTAAGTCATCGCTTACTGCTCCTCAGCAATATGATTTCGAAAGAATCTGTCTGTTTAAATGTGTCAGTGGCATGGGATTGATAGGACCGAGGACTTTCAGGTCAAATTATTTTTATTTCCTTGTTAAGGGCACCTTATCAAGTGAACCGTTGATTCTTAATCCATCGCTGGGGACTAATCTGAACCAATTTACACTGTGTTAGCTGGTTCTCACCATATTTAGGTAGCTAATCACGCTGAGTTCAGATGGACAGTGTTCCATCAGCAAGCGAAGTATTATAGTGGGGGCTCTCAGGGTGCAACTTTGCGCCCTTTATATTTTCAGTGTATTACTGGTTCCAAGAGCTGCTTTCTGAGATGCTCCTCCATGTGAGCCATGTGAAATCACAGATTGAGAATACAGGCTGTGTTTACAGAAAAGTTTGACTCAGTCTGAAGAATCGACAGGTGAGAATGGATCCGAATTTAGCTGTGATCAATACGGGGTGGACCGCAGGAGGCATTTGTATCATGGCACGCCCAACGGCACGCAGCTTGACTTGCCACTGCTGAGAGATCCCGGTGCTCCTGTCCCCTAAAGATGTCGGGTCATTCGTTGGCTGCGGCAAGTGCACATTTCCTTTCGACCTAGAGATTGTGAACCTGTGACAAAGTTTAGGACAGTTTGGTGGCACGCATTAAGTTTTTGAAAGCCTTGTGTCACTGTACTTAGAACCTGGAGTATAAGTAGTATATGTGAGTAGCTTGTGATCACTCTCACATTGAACCCATACTGATACGGGAGACTAAGGGGTAGAAGGAGCATGGTTTATAATACTCCTAAATGTCACGATTATTTACTTATTCCCTGGCCTCAATGCGATTCAAAGTTTAGAGAAAACTCTGAGGTAGATAGTCGATTATAAAGGGCTGGCAGGCGTAGCTTCACTTCAGGCCCATGGACAGCCTGAGAACTTCCTCTGTAGCGGTGGCAGTTCCGGCCAAATGGGAAAACTCTCTCAAAGCAAATTATGGGCCCGCTGATGATTCTAAAGTGGGTTTGGAATTGAATTACTTTTTAATTGTTTCTCCTGACCGTTGTTTTGCATCTAAGCTACATCTACGAAGAGATGGTGATACACAGCTCTAATATGTTGGGACTGGTTCGGTGGTTTGAGATTATAAAGCCATATAGGGAGCGTTTGGTGACTATTGATGTATATCTTCCGGAAAAATAGAGGGGGAGCAAATAATGGAATTTAACATCTTTGGGGCGGCAGATGACTCCCCGAAATCGACCGTCTAAAGCTTGACGAAATTTGACACTGACATTGACCCTCAGTTTCCAAACTGACTCGTTATACAGATGGAACATGGCGAAGCATTCATCACATTTGGTACTTTGTCATATTACTTTGAGTTGCTAATAAACATCCCTCTAGACGGCTAATTAACACAACTTGGTATACTGACAACATTCCTCAAATTTGATTTTGACACGCGGCTGTACCACATTTTTTCCTTGGTTTAAAACTCCTGGCTATTCTGCAAGAGCGAATAACTACGGGCCGCATACTGCATCTAGCACGAACATGTGGTTAATTCCGAACTCCTAGACACATCTGGAAATCCACCGCCCCACTTATTAAAGTTTGTATTTGAAAGCAGCCTTAGCGGTCTTATGTAGTGATGTTGCACAACGTCTTGTTCGCAAGAGCTTTTCTTCGGAGATCCAGATCACTTTTTGCTTCCCGCTACCGAATATCTGAGATCATTTGCAGTCCACTTTTAGATACTCTTAATCTAGATTATTATTCCTGATATGTTGACATTTTTTGACGAAAAAATGATGCATAACATCAGCACAAGTGTTCCGAGATAAATCAAATTTTAACTGTCATGTAACCCTGTCTCAGGCAATAGTGAAATGCAAGGAATTTTTCTTTACTGAATGGCGATAAAAGTTTAGACACCTAAACATAAGTGTAGAGAAATGAGTTAGTTTGCATGACATTGCATATAGGACAGGGATTATTTGTTTTTCTTAGAGGCGGTTCTTACAAATTCATATCTCTAGTTATCGTTGGTGGTAATTTTCTGTCACTCATAAACAGTTTGTCGGTCAGTTTTGTTTTTAATATCGCTTTATTACGATTCATTCAATTTGCTTATTTTATACTGATATAGTCGTAGAAGCAGACTGTGTATATCTCAACCTTCGTGAACAAACAGTTTTGTTTCTTTTATGCGTCTCATCCATCGAGGATTCTGGCTTTCTTATTTAGATTTTTGGCCTTTTTTTAATGCACATTCACTTTTAGGCGTTAGAATATTATCTTCAACACCTTGTTTATCCTGGACTCCCGATTTTTAAGTATCTAATTATACGGACAGCCTAGTGATCTGACATCTGGTCACCGTTTGCGCTATGGGCCATGTAATAGTAACTCTCTATGTTTAGCTGGTAAATGTGAAGGTCATAGTGTATATGAAGGGTAGTTAATTGCCTGCTGATGCTTATGTTAGTGAAGCCCTGTGGTCTGCAGTCAGTCTGTAGAACTAACCGTTGACAGATAGCGCATGGCAAAAGATGGTTAGATGCCTCAATTTTTTCAGCTTCGTCCAAACTGATTGATGCGCTTGTGCACATAGAATTAACTGCATTCCATGTGAACAGCTTCAGTGTAACCTGACTGAAAGTCTTTTCTAAGATGTTTCTCAGTAACAAGTGAGGGAAACGAACGTTAAATTTGAAAGTCAAGAAAATGGATATTTATCCAAACTTGTAAAAATTTACGAGGTAAATGCTACAACTAGAATTCTCAACGTGTGTTTTGTGTTGATGTTTGCATATTATACTCTCAGCGTCTATGTGGCTGCCTGATGAAATACCTTGAAGTAATTTTAAATAACTAGAAAACTCTACGTACCAATAAACGCTTAAGCTAGCGAAAAGCGTCACACTTATTACGACGTATGTCAGCATAAATCCTAACAGTGGTTGACTTGTAACCCGTCGAAATTGTACTATTTCACGGGCCAACAAATAGGGGAAATGGCAAGGTTGAGCTGTGGTTCGTTGCTTTATGCTGTGCACTTGAGTTTTAACCATCGATTAGGATGTTGTTTTGAATACAGGACTTTGGGCAGTCAAGAAATATTGCTGGATCTAACATAGTAAATATGGAAGTTAGTTCTACAGAGAAGCTTGTTTACTACTGGATTATTCGATCGTATAATTTTCTGCAGAATTTCTGTATCTATCGTTCAGATTCAGACTTGTTCAGATTTGTTGTCTGAGGATAGCAGGCTGGGAACCTATATTAATTATATTAACTTCTGTGCTTGTCCAATCTCCTTTTGAATGAGTCAATTGATGATGCAGACACCACTTCTGAGAGTCGGTTCCAGGCGTTGATTACTCGACGCGAGAACCAGGAATGTGCGGAAACTATGTTCGTTCGTTGCTGTTGTAGTCTCCTACTGTGTCCTCTGAGGTGTTTCGACCTAGTGGGAAGGAAAAGAGAAGATAGATCAGGTCCAAAGTCATTTCTTAGAATCCTGTATAGCATGATTAGGTCTCCGCTCTGTCTGCGATAGGACAAAGTAAAGAGGTTCAGCTCCTTAAGTCAGTCTTCATAGGTGAGGCCAGCCATCGCGGGAACCATACGAGTGGTTGCCCTCTGAACTGTTCCTAGAAGGTCTGCGTCACCTTTCAGACAAAGATTAGCCGCCTGTTTACAGTTTTCTAATTTATACCTAACTAAGGATGTGTATGAGATGGTGAACATGTCACCACTTATTTTCGTGAACGTTCTGCGTAGTGCCTAGAGAGTCCTAAAACTCTGAGCTGCTACCAATCGACAGTGAGCCGTGGTTTTCAAGTCATAACTCACTGTGACTCCTAGGTCATTGTGGGTCAGTAATGACAATAAAGGAGTCCCATCAATATCGTAGGTGTTGCTGTGTGTGTGTGTGTGTGTGTGTGTGTGTGTGCTCCGAGTGCATATTCACACATTTACATGCGTTGATAGGCATCAGCCACTTCTCTGACTAAGGTCTACCTGGAGCACACGTATATCCTCATCGTTCCTAATTTCCCGCCAGATTTCTACACCATCAGCGTAGAGAACCATAGGGGAGCTCGTGATATTTGGCAGGTCATTTATGTATAGGAGAAACAGCAGGGGGCCCAGGACTGTGCCTTGTGGCACTCCATTCTCCACCGACTTCCAAGTGAGAGTTGAGAATTGATCCTAACTGTTTGTCTTCTACCAACAAGAAAGTCTCTTATCCATGAGAGCAGACTGCCAGTGATTCCAAAACTTTCCAGTTTCCCTAGCAACCTTGAATGTGGTGCTTTGTCGAACGCCCTACTAAAGTCAATGAAAATGACATCTAGCGGTATCCTATCATCTTTGGGCTTAACCCAACTTTCTCTGGCTGTAAGGATGTTCGTCAAGCGAGAGAAATTCCTACGAAAACCGTGCTATGAACGAGACAATAGAGTGTTGCTCTTTAGGTGAACTATAATGGATTTCTAGATTATTCTTTCTTGGATTTCCACTACAGTACTAGTCAAACTTATCGGTCTGTAGTTTGATGGGAGCTGCCTAGAACCTGGCTTGTGGATAGGTGTTACTATGGCATCCTTCCAGTCATAGGGGAGTATGCCTTCACTGAGAGACAGTCTGAATATAGTAGTCAATGGGCTGGCTACACAAAGTGCAAACTCCGTGAGGAGCCTTAGGTACAGCGCATCCGGTCCCGTTGATTTCTACACGTCGAGATTGCTTAATATCGGAAATACATCATTGCGATCGATATCCACAGAGTTTATTCTGTTGGATGTCAATGTTTTGACTATTGGATACGTGTTTACGAAAGATTCCTGTGTAAAGACTTCAGCAAAATATCCAACCGTGGCTTTTGCTTTTTCCTCATCGTCCTCAATCAAACAGTCAGTATTGGTCCCATTGATTGGGATGGGTATACTACGACACATCTTGTTTCTGTAGTTCATAAAGGAAAATAACCTCTTTGGATGTTGCAATGCAGCCTGCGCAAGACGTGTTTCAAGCATATTCGAGACCGGTGGATAGCAGCCATACATTTATTGCGAGCTTCTTTGTCATGCTTCACCACTTTGAGTGTACCGAGGTGGGTGGCAAGACCCCAACACTTTTTCTTACGTCGTAGCAAGATTCAGATTTCGTGGTTTATCCATGGAGGGCAGTGTTTTCGTCCCCTCGGGACAGTCCACGGAATGAACGGTTGGGTCACTCATGCATATAACTGTTTGAAGTAGCACCATGCACCTTCAACTGAGGCTTCTGGCTTGACTGTCCAGTCCTCCGAAGAGACTGCCAGGTTAATAGCTTCCACATTCGTTTTCCATATGTTGAGCATAGCTGAGGCATCGGCCTGGCACAAGACGTCTGCTGGGAATCTGAAGATGATCACAGCATGATCACTTTTACCAAGGGGTGCTAGGTGCAGGATGAAGCATGTGTCGTCTGTATGTGAGAATACTAAGTCCAGAACTGATGGAGCATGCTGATGATTATATCTGGTTGGTGTCCTAATGTGCTGTATGAGGGCTAAGGAAATTGATGTTCCCACTAACCTGTGGTCAAACGAATTACGTGGTGCTTTTGTTGTTAGTCTATCTCAGTCAACTGATGGTGCGTTGAAGTCTGCTACAACTAGAAATCGGTATTTATCTGTTCAGAGGGTCAGCTTATTCAGGAGGAAGTCTGCTGCATCACATTCAGGACTTCGTTATATCACGATTACGTTAACACCTTGCCCCTTTCATTTTAGTTGGCAGTGCAGCATTTCACATGTCCTACTTTCATGTGCAACTGTTTCTATGGCTTTTACAGTTAAGGTATTCTTAACGTAAAAGATGACACCACCACCTTTGCGTGCTAACCCGTCACTTCTAAAAGGGATGAATCCTCGTGAGTGTGTTTCACAGTCACTGATCCAAGAAGAGAACCAAGTTTTTGAGATAGCAGTGATGTCAGGGCTTTCGTTGCTTATCACATTACTAAGCTCAGTCCACTTGTTTAAGAGACTGCTTGCATTTGTGTACAAGACAACGAAACAACTTAAATGAGTTTTCATCGTATCCATAGCGGCTTTGGTATCATTTGTTGCCGAAACCTCACGACCTTTAGTTCCATTGAGTTCCTTATAGATGTGTGTTAGTTATTCTTACATAAACTGTTTTTAAACCAGCTTTTGATAGGTCATTTTAAAGGAACGCATGCTGTCGAAGGGTGGTGTGAAGAAGAGTTTATGTGACAAACACAGACCGGCAAAATCAGTATCAGACGTCGCACAGAAGTGCATCGGAAAGTGATTTTCGTCTTACCACAATGTAACAGACCTTTCTTGTATGGTAGGACCTCAAGGGAGCAAGCGTTCCAGTTAGTGCAGCTCTTTGGATGATATGATTGTTTACGTAAGTCGGTTGGTGGTAGTAGTTCACTTAGCCAGTGCAAGGATTTGAAAGGAAAAAAGAGAGATGCTCGCCAGCAAGTCACCAAGCAACAGTAATTTACTTACATTTAGTATTAACAGGATCGATAGAAGTTATCAGCACATAATGAAGACTGTGAAAATGTGACTCTTTGGCTTAGGGACTTGAATTTCAAGCAATTGATCCTGGGTTCAAGGCCCGCTCCATATGTTGTATAGATTTTGAAAGTGTTTGGGTAACTAGCTGTCAGTTTAGTGCTTTATTTTGCTGTTCAACATGAACGATCAGTAAACGGTTCACATTGAGTCAGCATGAACGATGTTATAGCTATTAGATGGATTGAGTGGAGACTCATTTCTTTTACCGTAGTTGTCAGTCTTATATACTACTTCATTTGTTATCTGTACACTGGATTCTTGTATTTTGTGATTTGTATATTAAGTTTTGAATCATTACGGAAAATTTCGAATACAATTAAGACACGTTTTTTTCTTTTTCAGATCTTTTCACAGCTTTCACTCATGACGAAACACCAAAGCGTTTACAGAAGACGTACTCTCTCACTTGCAGATGTTCCAGATGTAAGCCGTTGATTATTAACGTTTATTGCGTGTGTACTGATGTCTAGTACTTTTCGTCTGGTGTCTTGGTTAGGCGAAAGGTACTAGGCAAGTCAGTCGATAAAGTTGTAAACCTCGGTGAGGTGGCTTAAACATGTATTAGCCATGTCGAGCCACCGCCCACCTTGACGTGCAATGCTGGCAGAATTTGGATTGGGTTGGAGGAAGATTCATGGTTGCCAGAACAAGATGTGGTACTAGTTGGTGAAATCCCTCATTATCTGAGGTATAGAGTATTTGGTTGGGATCCTCGAGAGTATCAACGGTTGTATACTCTTGATGATATGGAAAAAAATTGGGTTGCGATAGCTCAAGTGTATCCACTCTTTGACTTATTTTGAAACTAGAATATTTTCACTAACCTTGATTTTCAAATTGTCTTTCTTCCCATACACTTGTTTACTCTGATATCACTATTTTGCTATCCGCTTATTGTTTGCATGCTGCAGTGAAATGTGATGACTTGAACCGGTTCACTTATGTGCGAGGTTCTACTTTGACTTTGCTATTTTTCTGTCTGATGCCTGTTTTACTTGTTCTTTTGACTAGTTGTTCTATAGTTGTATCGTATTATTGACTACGTTACTATCTGCCACCGCTAGTGTTTTTGTCCTGTGTACACTCTGGTTTGTCTTGCGAAACTGAAAAATAAGCCATCCTTAAAAGTCCATTACTTGTGGTAAGAATATTCTTGGAAATTGGTCATAAGTGGTTGTTAGTATAGAAATTTTAACACATTTAGTGAGAAAAAGTCTTTGTTGATTATTTTTTGTGTTTTCGAAAAAAATATATTCTCTTGAAAAATTGTTCGAAGTCGTGCTTTCATCAAAATTTGCTGTCATGTTTCTAAATTTTTTAGAAAGATTTGTAAAAAGTTTCATTTATGATGAGCTGTATTCTTTTTCATTGTGTCGGACTTAATGTCTATATTGTACAGATATGTGAGCAAGGGAAACTAGAGTTAAGCGTTGTTAGATATTGGCTGCATGTTACGATTTTCTCTCACTGTCGTTCAGGAAGTGTTTGTAAGAATTTGTGTATTCGCGGGGGATAAGGTTTATCATGTACTGATTATCATCCAGGTAGGTCACAAATGAAATCTATTTGAAATCATTGGTGAAGGGGATGAGGTAGCAACCATTTGAATTTGCAAAACATTTTGTACGAAATTGTGTTGTTTTTGTTGATCTTGACGTTCTTTCACCTTTAGTGTCGCAAAAGTAGTCCTGCAAATGCAACTGAAAATCATGAGATCGATTTTTCCAAAGCATTCCATCGTAATATGGTACGCTGCCCTTCGTTTGCTCTTCTCGACATCAGTCAGAACTCGTCAAATGAATTGGCCTGCCTTAAACTTCAAAATACACTGAAAAATTCAAACTCTCAGTTGAAAAGTGTTTGTGAACCCAACAAACTTCACACTTCACTGAAGTCTGATTCAAATTCTCAAACAGCATCAAGTTCACTTACATCTAGTCTCTCATTTTTTGAGCCGTATCCCGCTGATGAATTGCCTGATGTTATACAGCCATTTAATGAGCATAATATTCAGTTGAGTTCTACAAATTTGTCGCAATTAAACTTTATGGATTACTTATTACCTTCATCTTTATTATCTTCATCTCTGGTCAAACTGTATTTATCCAAGGTAACTAAATATGGTTATGTAACTTTCATTGTTAAATTTTCATAAATGAGCAGCTGTTATATATATATATATATATATATATATATATATATATATATATATATATATATATATATATATATATATACGTATGATAATGATTATTATTTATCCTTTGGGTTCCTAGTGCAGCATAGAAATTCACTTTCACGTCGCCATTTCACTCTCTTCTCTGCAGTCTTTCGAACCTGGCTCCACGACTGCTCACAAGCTTCCATTCCTTCCTCACACGATCTCCTCCATGTCACCCTCAGCTGGGACGCCCAACTGGTCATTTCCCATGCGGGTTCCACTCTATTGCCTGGCCTAGTGCGTGATGTCCCCGAATGGTCTTCTCAGTGTATGCCCAGTCCAATCCATCTCCACTTCCTTCTGCATATTTGTTGGGCGATAGGTTCTTGGTTGGTTCGTTGGCAGCCACAATGAGTTCCTTGTTGCTTATTCTTATTAATCTGGTCATCTGATTTGCTCTTCAGTATCGAGTGAGTGTAGGCGGTAGCTGTTGATGAGTGTCTGTCGTTTGTTGGAAATGCTTTTCGTAATGCGCCAAGACTGTCAACCATGTCATACAAGCACTGATTTGACTGGCATTAGTGTTGAAAATCCGGATATTGTTCACGATTTATGCTGAGTGGAGTGGAGCAGATCTCCACACTGGTTTCAGAATAATGAAGGAAGGCCTGTTTTGCTGTCTTTCCGATGCTGGTTTTGACATCCTCATCTGGTTAGGTGAGAGTGACTACTTTGTTTGGGTTTCTCCCATTGATTGTGATTGGTGCTTGTTGTTGTTGCTGTTGATGGTGGTCGAGTATCTTCATCACCTCTGTCTTCTCTACGTTCACCTGAAGGAAGTTGCATCTTCGCTGCTGTGCCTCTTCTGTCAACTTGTTGGTTTTTGACTGTAGATCTTCTAGTTTTTGCGACAAGTCATTGGACATAAATCATCACCATGGGCGAAGTCCAAATGTTGTAGGATTATTTTCACCGGTCAAACGGCGTATGCCCCTCTTCTCGCTGCTCACATTTTGTTGCATGATCCAGTTGGGTCCAGTCGATCACAATGAGGAAGATGATGGGTGATAGTAGGCGGCAACCTTGTCCTACTGCTGTCTTCACTTCAAGGGCGTCAGTGAGTAGCTTTCCATTGTGAACCACTAGGCATGTAGCATGATATAGCATAGCATATAGGTGTTGAGTGAGGTTGGTAAAGACTAGTGGCACTAAAGCCTTAGTGTTGAAGTAACTGGCACATAACTTCTCTGTCGACGCTATCGAAGGCCTTTTAAAAAGTCGATGAATTTGAGGTAGAGAGTTGACTTCCATTCTATGTTCTGTTATGTGATGACACGTAGCGTAGCATTGCAATTTGATCTGCACATGATTTGTTTTTTCCTGAATCCAGAGCATATTTTAGTCTCTCCAGTACGATGTGGCCTAATATTTGCTTGGGGTGGACGGGGAGTGGAGCATGAATTCACGCCAGTTCTTGGAAAGACAGGTTTCCCTTCCTTGTGCGTTTGACCAGGTAGCCCGTCTTACAATCAATGGACAAGTACCTTTCCTTCTTTGCAAACCATTTGCAATAGTGGTGTGAGCATATTGGCTGATGTCTCTTCATCTGTTTTCAGTGCTTGTGGAGGAGTTGCATGTGGTCCTTCTGCTTTTCCGGATTTCAGCAGATTTGTTGCGTGGCGTTCAGGCCTTTATCTTTTATCGGAGTGCTTGTGTTCACTAGTAGTTCTGTGGCTGGGCTGGTGGTGGTATTTCTGGAGGAGTTGCAGGTGTTGTTGGTGTTGGTTGACTCAATAGCTTTTTGAAGTGGTCAACTCATCGTTCCCTTTGTATCTCCTCTTTGGTGGTAACTGGGTTTCCTTCACTATCTTTCATTGGTTTCGTCTGCGTTGATCTCTTCCCTATCATATGGTGACCAGGTTGTTTGATAAAGTGTTGTCAGGTCTCTCCTACCTGCGTCTCCATTTTCTTCTCATTGAGATGAAGTTGATTCGATATTTAGTGTGGTGTGTCCATGTGGTGAACTCGAATCCATGTCGGTTTGTGAATATCCTTGTTTTTGTATATACTGTCTCCAATCACCAAGTCGTTGAATGCACGAAGGCCTGCAAACAGTTCTCCATTCTTGTTCATTTCATTCAGTGCCTCTCGACCCATGATGGATGAGTTCTCTTCCTGTGTTGTTTGCTCCCAGTTTGGCATTCATGTCGTCGCACCCACTAGAATTGTGATATGACCAACTGGAGTGGAGTCTTGTCCATTAGTGATTGTAGTTGTCTATAGAATTCCTCCTTCTTCTCTTGATCTGTATTATTTGTAGGTGCATAGCGTAGGGTATCATTGTATGATTGTGACTTTCCTTCTCTTTGATTTGAATGTTGGTGTTATGATCCTGTGGGAGTAGGAGATTGGTTCTCACTGGATGAGAGAGAGCTTTGGATGGTGTTGGGGACATGATGCTAGCCAGTCGAAAAGTGAGTGTGCTCGTGGTTGTCATCTGGGTGGCAGTTTCGGAGTAGATTATTCTGTCTGCTGTTTACAGTTTTGAGAGTCCACTTCGATTCTATTTGGTTCCGCAGATTTGTATCTTATCGCTTCTATGCTGGACCTTCTCATATCTTTAGCGGTCTTAGCAGCCTTTCCAGCAGGCTTCAAAGATGGTGCAGACATTCCATGTCTGTATGTTTGCTTTTGCTTTTATCGAGGGTAGGTAAGACAAGTCGGCCAGTCGGCGTTTACGGTCACCGTTGTCCCTGCAGGAATTCTCGCATCCGTTGGATACACTATGTAAGTATAATTCTGAGAGGAGGCGGTGTCTTAGCATTATGGAGATGAGCGTCTCCCTAAGCATTACTGACCATCATTTTCTTGTTAGCATCTTTAATATGCCAAAAAACTGTCGAGGATTGCCTACTGCTGTTACCTTTTCACTCCATTTCTGTCAGAACCAATCAGTGTGATGGGACCTGAAAAAAGTGAATTTGTAGGGGTTGGCTAGCCAATTAGAATGGATGGCTATGGATAAAGAGAAAAATAGTAAGGCTGGTCACACATAGCTTTTACGTGTTTTTAATTTTGGATATTCCTGACTTACGTTTATACTTGAAAAATCCATACCGCTAAACCCCGAAGATTGTGGGATGGGTATGAGTGTGTTACTTCAAAGATCAACTCTTCCTAACCCTTCTTTCTAATAGAGGAATGATGATAACCTTTATTAAGCATTATGTAACCGGCAGTACGACTTTACCCTTGAAACCCGCACCATGACATAAGCAAATTACAGTGTATGACAGTAACTCCTTTTAGCCTAACCACTACCCAGCAGACCTTGTGTAGCTGTACCTCACGAATTAAGTGTTCCCACCAACATTTCAAACTACTTACAATGAAACTAAATGATAGTAGACAGCAATACTTTCGTTACTTTTGACTAGTGAATAGTGTAGTTTGTAGATAATCAAATATCTCAAGATAACAATAAATAATAATAAAACAGCAAACCAATGGTTATCGATCTATTACTTTATGTGCATTTGGGTACTTTGCTGTTGTCAAACTTAGCGCAAGCAAAAACTATTCACACTTTATTTATCGGTACCGAAATTTTGGCTACTAACAACTCATTAGAGCTTGTGCAACTCACGTAAGAATTGCTTCATTCAATAGTTACGATTTCTATGAATCAATACCAACCCAGTAGTTTTTAAGGTTAAGTGAAGTCGATTTTTCTGTAGTTGTCCAAATGCTATTAGCTGTATCGATCAACGAGTACATAATCGAGTTTATCTTTAAACCTTTGACCATAGTTATTAAGGATCTAAGCAGGTTATCCATTGAAGATTGGGTTAGAAGGGGGCTAAGCGTGACCGGGTCATACGCCGCACCAGTCTATAAAGTCTTTGCCTGTTGATCTGAGCGGTCTAGGGAGATTAAGATTGCTTACCTGGTGTCCTCGAGGTAATAAGAGTCATGTTTAGGATGTAGAAATGTTTAGTCGATTTGATTTCGCTTATGGCGAATAGCAAACGTCGTATGTGAATTTATCTACTGGTAACCCTGTTGTACGTTGGGACCCGCCGAAGTTGCTACTACATGCGTAGTTGCTTCCACTCGGTAGGTGAGGTTCTTAAGTCCATTATAAGAAACTGTATTTGGTCGCACACTGGATAGAGTAGAAGTATCAGTAAAAATGATAGGTGGATTATCGTGTTAAAAGTATATACAAAAGACCTATCAGAATACAAATATATATGTTTCATTAAATCCGCAGTGTTTTAAGAAACCTACTCAAATAGTCAGCTTTTTCCGCCAACTATATTATGTACAACTCATTACTCTACTAATTCTTACGTACGTTTTTAAATGTAACTGGGTTGTCAGGTTTTTGTATTGTGCTTATATTCACTGCTTAGTAGTTTTGTAATATATGGGCAAATTTTATTTTCTAGGTTACCACAGGCTCATCTTTGAAGTCAGTGACAAGTTATCTTGGTCCCGATAATGAAGAAGCCAAGTTTCATCATACTGACTCTCAAAATCTTGTCGGTATACCCGGATGTCTTCAGATTGCATCGCATTCATTGGTCTCTATGGTTATGCCTATAAAAAATGTTGAGATTTATTCAAACAGAAACACAAAGAAAAGGTTAAGTTTATATTCATCCAACGGAAGCCTAAAACTTCCCCAATTTATGTTGCATAGTTGTGACAAGGATATGCTTCGCGAGGTCAATTATTCAAGCAGTACTGAGTCTTCAAATACTGCAGAAGACACATCCAACTTCTCAAGTGGTTACTACTCAGATAATTATTTTAGAGGAGAAAAGAAGTGTGATAATAGTGGAGGACGTCTGGAAATGAAATTTCATCATCCATCTCATCGAATCCCTTTGTTTTCAGGTTAGTTCACTGTCATACATATTGCTTTTGTTCCTCAGCCTTTACTATAAATTAAGACATTGTTTAGACAGGTGGGAAAGTTTGTTTTACAAAAGGAAATTAGTTCATTTTGCTTATCAATATATTTGTAAACCCTGAAGCGTCTTAAATACTTGGATAGGACACGAATGATGTGTTTTACAAACAATTGTGAACTTCTACATCATTTCTTATTTCGTTCGTGTTGATGATTAGGAACAAAAGCTTGAAGTAGTGTTTTGATTCGTTATATCAACCAGTCAACCGACCAACCAGTCAATATCAACACAAAACCAGGCATTGTTACGTAACGGTTCAAGTTGCCACACTTAATATCAGCAAAACAAGTAACAAAGTAGTAAGATGAAAGATGAAAAAAGAAAAATTGATTGAAAGCAATAGAAAGCAGTGAAAGAGAGGATTGATAAAACGCTCGATTCCATATAGCGGTTAAAAGGAAGATAGAGTGTGAATACACCTGCGCCATTGACATAGATTCCGAGCTATATCACCTTGAGTCTCCAACCACCGCTTTCTGTTGTCGCGTGGACCCCAACAGGCTAGTCTGCATCTCCCAATATTATATTATTATTATTAGTCCCTTGGGTTCCTAGTGGAACATAGGGCTTCAGTAGCACGCCTCCAGTGACCTCTGTTCTCTGAGATCTTTTGAACCTGGTTCCACGACAGCCCAGAAGCTCTCATTTCCTCCTCGCATGACCTCCTCCATGTCACCCTCGGACGTCCAACTCGTCGCTTCCCATGGGGATTCCACTCGAGGGCCTGACGCGTGATGTCCTCAGTCGGCCTTCTCAGTGCATGGCCAATCCATCTCCACTTCTTCCTGCATATTTGTTGCGTGATAGGTTCTTGGTTGGTTCGTTCCCAGAGTTCCTTGTTGCTTATTTTTTCTGGCCATCTGATCTTCAGCAGCGAGCGTAAGCAGTTGTTGATGAATGTCTGTAGTTTATTGGAAATGCCTTTCGTGACGCGCCAAGTCTCTGAGCCATACAAGAGCACTGACTTGACGTTGGTGTTGAAAATCCGTATCTTGTTCCGCATGCTGAGTGCAGAAGATCTCCACACTGGTTTCAGGCTAATGAACGCCTGTCTTGCTTTTCCGATTCTGACTTTGACGTCCTCGTCCGTCCCGCCTGTAGTTGAAACAGTGCTTCCTAGATAAGTGAAGGAGGTTACTTCCTTCAAGTTTCTCCCGTTGACGGTGATTGGAGTTTGTTGTTGTTGTTGATGGTGGTGGTGCGGTATCTTCATCACTTCTGTCTTCTCTATATTCACCTGAAGTCCCGTCTTAGCTGCCTCTTCTGTCAACTTGTTAGTTTTTGCCTGCAGATCTTCAAGTTTATGTGACATTAGGCATAAGTCATCGGCGAAATCCAAGTCTTCTAGGTTCTTTTCCGTCGTCCAGTGTATCCCCCTCTTCTCGCTGCCTACTGTTTGCTGCATGATCCAGTCCACCACAATAAGGAATATCATGGGGGATAGTAGGCAACCTTGTTTCACTCCTGTCTTCACTTCAAAGGCATCACTGAGCTTCCCATTGTGGATTACTTGGCATGTGGCATCTTCATATAGTTGTTGAATGAGGCGGATAAAGGTTTGCGGTACTCCGTAGTATTGAAGCAGTTTCCAAATTACTTCTCGGTCGACGCTGTCAAAGGCCTTCTCAAAGTCGATGAAGTTGAGGTAGAGAGCTGATTGCCATTCTATGCTCTGTTCTATGATGATACGAAGCGTTGCAATTTGGTCTGCACATGATTTGTACTTCCTGAAGCCTGCCTGTTCCGGTCGCAGTTTTGAATCCAGTGCATCCTTAAGCCTCTCCAGGATGATGCGGCTTAATATTTTACTTGGGGTGGACAGGAGAGTGATTCCGCGCCAGTTCTTGCAAGCACTGAGGTCTCCCTTCTTCGGCAGTTTGACAAGGTAACCCTTCTTCCAATCGTCAGGTACCTTCTCTTCCTTCCACACCTTCTGCAATAGTGGTGTGAGCATGTCCGCTGTTGTCTCTGCATCTGTTCTCAGTGCTTCTGGCGGTATTCCATCTGGTCCTGCTGCTTTCCCGCATTTCAGTAGCTTTATGGCGTTCAGGACTTCCATTTTCGTTGGGGGATTTATGTTCACTTGTAATTCAGCGGCTGCAGGTGGTATTTCTGGACGAAGTGCAGGTGGTGGTCGATTCAAGAGCTTCTTGAAGTGGTCGGCCCATCGTTTCCTCTGTTTCTCTTCTTTTGTAATTAAATTTCCTTCTTCATCTTTTATTGGTTTCATCTGTGTTGGTCTCTTCCCTGATAGCAACCTGGTTATTTGATACAATGTCGTCAGGTCTCTCTTACCTGCAGCCTGTTCTGCTTCACTTGCCAGTGTGTCGTAGAAGTGTCTTTTGTCTTTGCGTGCACTCTTCTTCACTTCTTTGTCCAGTGTTTTATACATTGTGCTCAGTTCCTCTTGTCGTTGAGCATCCTTGCACTGGTTTATCTTCTGCTTCACCATCCTCCTCTCCTCTATCAGCTTCCAGGTATCCGTCGAGATCCATTCCTTGTCTTCTTTCTTCTTCCTTCCTAATACTGTTGTGCAGGTTTCTTTCCACATAGCTTTCAAAGACTTCCAGTGTTCTTCCACACAGGTTTCTTCAGGGATGTTGCTCGATGTCTCCCATTTTGTCTTGATGGCTGCCTTGAAGATCTCCTTTGTAGTTTCATCCTTCAGTTTCCGAGTGTTGTACTTGAATTGAGGTCTATCACCAGCTTCCTTGAAGGCTTTTAACTTGATTTGGAAGGTTCCTTGCACTAGGTAGTGGTCTGAACCTACATCTGCTCCTCTTCTTGACCTTGTGTTAAGTAGACTGCGTCTCCATTTTCTTGAGATTGAGATAAAGTCGATTTGATTTTTAGTGTGTCCATCTGGTGAAATCCATGTCGCTTTGTGGATATCCTTGTGCCTGAACACACTGCCTCCAATCACCAAATCGTTGAATGCACAGAATTCTGCAAACAATTCTCCATTCTCATTCATTTCACCTAGCGCCTCTCGACCCATGGTTAGTTCTCTTCCCGTGTTGTCCCCTCCCAGTTTGGCATTCATGTCGCCCATTAGAATTTTGATATCGCCAACTGACGTCTTGTCCAGTGTTGATTGAAGTTGTCTGTAGAATTCCTCCTTTTTCTCTTGCTCTGCATTATTTGTAGGTGCATAACATTGTATGATTGTGACCTTTCTTCCTTTTGAGTTGAATCTTGCTGTCATGATCCTGGAGGAGATTGGTTCCCACTGCATGAGAGCCTTCGATGCTCTTGAGGACATCATGATAGCCACTCCCTCAGTGTGCTCGTGGTTGGCGTCTGGGTGACCGGAGTAGATTATTGATTCTCCAGTTGACAGTTTGGAGAGTCCACTCCCATTCCATCTGCTTTCGCAAATCCCAAGCACTTCGATGTTATACCTTCTCATCTCCTTTGCAATCTGGGCTGCCTTACTGGGTTCAAACATCGTGCGGACATTCCATGTCCCCACGTTTACTTTCGCTTTCATCGAGAGAAGACACATCGGCCAATTGGCTTCCCGAAGGCTTTCACCAACTGGCGTCATTTCGCCTCTCCGATTCCAGCGGGGAATAAGTTTGTTTTCATTTTTTATATTTTGTTTGTGCTTTGAAGTTTCTTTAGCGGTTAGATTTGTTTTGTGGGGTAGGGTTGCTAGCCCTATGCCCAACCTTCCCTCTTTACCCGGGCTTAGGACCGGCTAGTAACTAGTAAACTAGTTAACCAGGCGAGGTTATCTCCCAATATAGCTCAAACCAATGTGCAAGAACTCAATACAATGATGCTATGTTTTAGTCTGGCCCATCTGAGCCTTATTCCATCTTGAAAGTACTTGAACCAACATTGTGCAACTAGTCAGACAGTGACTTGGCATGCATAACCCATGTCCCAACCATCCCAGTCGATGAAACTTCACAACTTTATCCTTTCCTCTTTAAAACCCTACATATGACTTCTGCGTTACTTACATGGGGATACCACGACAGAAGGTCTACGCTACGAAGGAACCGGTAGTCAAACACAAAGCCTTCTCAAGTCTTCTACTTTTAATGGCCATGTTTCACAGTTATACGGTAGAACACAGCGAACTGCATTGCATTACACTGGACCCTCAGTAGGCGATCGGGTATCACCGTGGCGCCACAGATGGCGTAAGTTGACAAGCGCTAGTCGGGCGTTTTATATTCGTGCAGAGATTTCACTGGCCACTGAGCCACCAGAGCTGATCCTACTTCTCAGGTAAGTAAAAGCGGTTAGTGCATCCAACCACTTCAGTCCCTATTGTTAATCGGTGAAGACCAATCCTGGGGCAACAATTTTCATTTTGGTGGGGAGAAACGCATCCCAAACATTCTCAAATTAGCAGTCAAGGTGTCTAGAAGACTTTACGTCTTGTCAGCATCTTCACCTAACAGAACTATAGCATCTGCGTATTCTAGATCTATTAAGGATTTTCCAGTTATTAGATCAATCCCTGTGATGTCAGATGACGAGAGGGAGAGCTCCCTAAGATTATCTATGACAGTATTGAACATGAATGAAGAGAGTATGGGCATCATTTACTGACACCACTTGGTGTACATAGCTCACCTGACAGCTCATGATAGGCTCGAATACGCCCACGGGTGTTCTAGAAAAGAGCCTTCAAGAGAGTGATGTACTCATTTGGTACCCATATGATCTCTCGATCGACAGAGTTGAGCACCGCCTTCAGGTCGAGAAATACAACTAGTGTAGACCGTCGATAAGTGGGATGCGTTACAAATTCACTTGGTAGTCGGGCAAAACCTTTGGTAACTAAAACGAAATTAAGATCTGGTCAGCGGCCGGGTCTCGTAGTTGAATTGACATAGAACCGGGCCGCTAACCTGAATGTCCTTGGGTCGAATCGTGCCTGTGCAGATTTCCACTTCACCTTCAATCATCATGCAGTATCAATAGAAGTGTTCCAAATCACGGCTCTCTCAAACAGTCAAACTGATGATATGGATATATCAATAGATCAACCAACCAACCAATCATTCATTGTTTCAGCAACAACAGGTCTAACACTATTGTATGATTGTCCGATTCGCCAAATTTTAAATCAGTGCATCAAAGGAGAGGACACAACGATGAGAGATAGAGAAATGATGGAGAAAGTCGTTGAAAGAGAAGAAGGGATAAAACGATAGGGAAATTCCATATAATGATTGGTTGGAAGGTAATGTATGAATTCATCTAAGCCAGTGAGATCAATTTTGAACTATATTACCTAGAATCACTAACCATTGATTTTGATTGTCATCCAGACTCCAGCTGGGATGTCTACATTTCCCCATACATCTGAGACTCCCAACCGCTGACTTCATGAACTGACGCCATGTTTCACTCTGGTTGACCTTAACCTTTTCCAACCTGAACCTACTTCAGCTAGTATTGTTCAGTGTGGTAGACGGTGACTGGTATGCGTAACACATGTCCTAGACATCTGAGTTGAAAAAGGTTAGCAAGCTCACCAAGTGACTTACCTCTTTCACGCATGATTTTCGTTTTTACTTTCTTTATTTTGTTAGCATGGTTGCCTCAATGCTCATATCATCAAAGACGCGTTAAGCAGGGTGTACACACTCACATCTTCATTAACATACTTTTTGATTTCCAGTATGATATTGAATTCGTAAATCAAAATTTGTTGATGGGCGGTCCAGTTTAAGAATTATATTACAAGTTTAATTAGTTCATGTTAGTGGTCAGTATTGTTGGGGTTTGCACAAAACATACGCTTTTGTGTTTAGCACACGGTTACATACTTGTTTATTAGGTTCTGAGTTGTTCTTGGTGAATTTCACTAGTACCTTTCTTTCTAATCAAGTTTCTGTGTGTACAGTCAGAAAATCTCCAGTAAGAATTGTCATATATCACCTCTGTTTTGGAATAGGCATCAAAGGGAATCAACACAACTGTTATGTACAACTTTTTGAATATTTGTTTGGTTGTTCAGTCTTTCCAATGATTGTAGTGAAACCGATAAAATCACGTCTGAGGGTAAGAACTTTTTAGACAGATTAATTTCTTATGGTAGGTAATTGACAAAATTAGAATTATTGTTTATTTGAGAAACAAATTGTGTATGAAATGTGTGATATACATTAGGATCGTCCAACAGTTATTAGCAGCATACTTTTTATTTTCTTTATTTTTTTTAGGTACACGAACCGCTAGCTGTGTATACATAGCTAGCGAAGGTGTCTCTGTTATCGTTGAGATGTTCCCTTGATATTTTGTATCTACTTCTGGCGGTGTTGTGGTATTATCCTCAGGTCATTCTGCATTCTTTGTTGTGAGAGAAAGAAAGAAGAACAGCAAATCTCCATCATTCTCTTGTTTGATGAAGATTGTGCTAAAGTCTTAGATTTTATGAAGGCTATCAATGTTGAGACCCATGTGATTGAGAGTGGTTTTTTAACCCTTTCAATCACATTTGTTGACGAATTTTTGCTGTGATTTTGCTGAATTTGGCAACGGATTGTGAACAAAGTGACAACTCAAATGTGTAACGAGTTACCCATAAAAAACGTGGGTTTATGGGCTTAATTTATCGAAAGGATCTCAAAAGAATTTGCTTTTCATTGCATACGGAAACGGTAAGGCATCAACGATTAAGTTCAGGATCAGTTTGTGGAGGGTTGATGTCTTCAGAAAAACGAACTATTACTGTGAAAAATATCTGAAATATTGTATTGATCCAAAAAATCGTAAACATTTCTATTCTCTTGTCAAAAAGTGACGTTCATTGAGTAAAGACAACATCCTGACTGAGGAATTTCATTGGTAGTGGTTTACTCCATGTGAAGTTAAATTTTGTGGTTCAGGGGAAAAGATGAAGAAAGAATTTTATAAAGCATTGCATATTGTTTCATTTCTAGGATTATTATCTTATTGCCAATTTCAATATTTAAATATTACGAACAATAAACTGTCTAGTTCTATTTTGTTTGAATCAAAAGCTATATAAGTAATCCATTGAAAACCACTGAAAGAAATCAACTCCTTGTTGTAAATCAATGAAGTTGTTTTAGTAGCTCACATGTCAGCCAAAACTATATTAATAAGCTTAAGAAAATAAAAAGGTTTCTTTATGATTATTATTAATTCATCACTTGGGATTCAAGTATAGTGAAAGGATATATAACTTACGATTGTTTCTACTCATCAACCTGTTTTTAAATCGGACTAGCAATATTTCTTTTTAGTTTTATCTCTAATTTTTACCTTTTAGATGGGCACTTGAAATCAAATCCAGCATACATAAGCAATGTCGATCTTCACCATCATATACGTCATCGTAAATTTGCCTTGACAAATATCTATGCTGGCCTTAATTCTAGTAAAGGCAATGGGTCTTCTGGTTCTTCCAATCCTACTCAATCACACAGTAATTATGTAGGTGGGAAGTCGAATTCCGCTACTACCAACTTTAATCAATCAAGTATGACGTCTGTACATGAACATACTCGAAGTTGTGGGGCATTGGAACGTTTATGCAGTTTATGGACAAATTTAAAATTGGATATAGCAGAAGAAGAGAAATTCTATTACATGGATGAAAGATCACTAGAACGAAGGGTTCATGCACAAGCATCGAATATAATTTCACCTGTATCCTTCTAAATATTTTCCAATGTCATACTCTATCTGCTGACTGCAGATACTTGAGCAGAAAGTTGATATTTTTGTCATATATCTTAATTCCACTATACTGTCTTCCGAAATTTGACTTTGATTTGGGAAAAACCGTCACATTTATTTTTAATATTAAATCCTGTTATTTCTGACAGAATTTGTTTTAAACCCATCTACTGTAATTTGAGTAGAAGTGGATTATATATATTATATCTTATAGCCTAACACATGTTGAATTAATATAATTTTTTGCACTTTCCCGTGAATATTATTTTGATAATTTTGATCTTTATTTAAAGCATGTTGAGAATTCTCTTTCTGTTTCATCTTATAAATGTGATTCAACTTTTTGCTCTATCAATGTCCGCGTTTATCTCCACACTATCGACTGGAACTCATTCTATGTCCTTTTTCCTTCTAATAGCTGTTCTAATCTCATATATATGGTAACAATTTTGTAGTGATTCTCAGAAATCTCCACTCGAAATTTTCACCATTCCCATACTCCCTTCGTTTTTGTACTTAGAACATATTTATATTTGTGTAAATTATACATTTGTAAATATATGACATATGAATGCTACGTTACCCTAAATATCAGAAGATTGTAAATTTCCGATGTCTGCAAGTATATTGACCATGTTCTTGGTTAAAAATTATCAATGTTTTCTAAATCCGTTTAACTCAGCTTTTAGCATATGTATTTTAGTTTAAGCGTCTAAAGAGCTAGTGAATATGTAATACTTAAAGTAAGTAAATAAAATGAAATATTTATCCAAAAATTGATATTCTGAATATCTGTTACAGTGATGTTAATGTGTGCTGAAAATTGCTTGTAGAAAGTTCTCAAAGTATTTATATAGAAAATACTGAAAGGGTGTATGTAGCTTAATATACGTAAACTTAAAAACCCTAATTGATCATTTCGCATCACTTGATAATTAGGTAGTTTTGTTATTTGTTTGAAAATCACTGTTGGATATTCTCTAAACCAGTAATTTATAACTTGAATACTGTAGGACATTTCTGTTTGTTGATTTATTATTCGTTTAATTGTAATACTTGAATTTGACTAAATTGTGCAGCGAATTGAATCCCACCTATTTATGTACAGGGAGTCAAGTAAGACCATTCATGATGTTCACCGTGGGATGTGTGAACTCGTGCTCCATTACTGAGCTGGGGTTACTCAACTTAGTGAATAATGGAAGAGAATTTCAAGCGAAAATATCCACTTCCATTATCAAGTTGGCGTATACAAATGATGTTTACTTATACTGCCGACAGATATGCCACATCTTTTTGCTACATCCTTTATGACGCAAGTTTTTTCTGACGTTAAGCTTCTTGTCCACTTTTTTCCATATTAGGTTTATGTATGAGTCAATTAGTTTAACAGGATGTAACCACATATGTAAATGATTTGATATTAGATGACAGTAATCAGTACTATCAAACCCCAAAACAATAAACTGGTGAGTATTTCAGTTACTTCAATAAATAATTCAGATTCTCAACATCTTTATTTCTAGTCATCACCAATCTTATGAGCTTTTATAAACTTCAGTATGATTATTCGGACGAAATAAACCACCTGCTAGCTATTTGGAGCATATATATGACTCAGTTTCAAATAATATGTAGTTTACTGCCTACTTTGTCTACATTTTAATGTCACATCATGTGTGATATTCGTGTTGTCTGCACTGAGTAAGCATAGACTTAACGTAAACTGAAAGTATGTTCTTCAGCGATTGAGGAGATTACTTAACTGTTCTGAATTACAAACAAGTGTTTCGGTTCTTTTTTAAATTTGCTAACTTCATATGGTCACACTTCGTTAATTCATGGTTGATCATGTAGTGTTATTGCCGCGCCTTCCTGAAAGAGTATCAACATGTTAGTGTTGTACATTGAAAAGCAGTTGTCTTGTTATAAGATTTCCCTGGGTAGTAACTCATATTTCACTCATGTCTCTTTTAAGGAGTAGACACTGGCACATGAATACTTTAAATCGCAGTCAACTGAGAAAACAGATGATCATTTTGTTTGTATACGACAAGGACTTTCATATTGACTTATACATTTTATGGATTATATGTGCTTAAGGTTATTCAGCACTGTAATATAACCAACCTCCAAGTCCTCTGATACTTTTTAAAGTTGTCATGGAGAGGCTCTTATTTTATGGTTATGTACTCTACTATGCACTTCGATACCCAATTATTTATTGCCTTTAATTGGCGATTTTATTTGACTGAAACGTGGGATTTCTGAGTCCTCCTCGCTCGCCTTTCTGGAATCTTGGTGTATTTTATAAAACAGATAAGTAGTTTCTCTTTGAATAACTGTGATCATTTGTTGCAGTTTTGGTTAACGTAGTAAAATACGGTATGGATTCAGGGGTGTGTATTAGGAACTAACTTGGTTGCCTGCCACTGTTCTGAAACGCCAGTTCATATTGTCAAGCGCTGATTATAATGCGCACTAGTTCGTGTCTAGTTGCTGAAACCACATGACTGAGAAAATTTTCTTCGTGCTATTCCCAGATATGAGAAAGTGGACAATGGTGAACATGTGACTTCAGTTTTGAATAAGGTGTGAGAAGGATCATGATTTATAACCTAAAGTATATGGAAGCTATTTGATTTGATCCTTTTCATCAGAATTTATTAAGATGCTTCAACTAATTCAAAAACTCCGAGAATGATTAACAGGCTAAATAGATGAAATCCGGACTAGATAAGATCCTTCATAAGATGGGAGTAAAACTTGGGTATCACGGTAGATTATTATTCCATTTTAGTTTGTTTATTAAGTGTTTCACACAGTGCAACAGTAATATTTACCAATTTTCATCATGATCACAATTTATTGCCTTTAGTCATTATTAAAGTAACTCTTCAACTTTGAAGCATAGTTTATGTGTTTCTAATTCTTTCTCTTCCTCTGTGATGTATGAAAATTAAATCAACAAACTGAAATGGAATTCTCCATAAGAATGGTAAATAATAGTGCCTAATGAAAACAGAGCTGATTAAGCAACAATCGGAGATCCATAATAACCACTGGGTGTGCAAATACATTTCAATGAAATTGAATCCAGTAAGGCCATTGGTGAGTGGAGTAGTAACCGTAAGAAGATAGAATACTAGTATACTGTTTCTATCAAACATTTTAAACAATACGTACAAAATTTCTGCGATTGTTCAAGTAACATTTGAAGGCCTTCTAATGGCTTACCATTAACTATCAAACTGAGAAGACACTGAAATTGTATTTTCAACCTAGGGAGATGTCTAGGAGTTTTTGACAAACATGCAGTGGAGAAAAGACTCTGTGCTTATAGTTAAGCTCTGATCAACTAAAGTACGAGAAGAAAGAAAAGAGGAGTGACAAATGGTGGGGTTCGGTTTAGTGTCGTTAAGATGAGGATAATGTGTGTATACATCTGCGCCACTGCCATCGGTTCTGAGCCATATCACCTAGAGTCTCCAACCACTGGTTCCTCTTATCCCGCAAGAATACTGATTAGTGGAGAAAAAACGCATATGGTAGCATACCACACAATGTAAAACTACCTTACTTCGTGTGATGATGAAAAAAGACCACGATTAGGTAGCCAAATGATAACAAATTTACCCGTCAAGTCCTTAATATTAAGCGCTGATCAAAGTCTATTGATCAAGTACAGCTCGTGACCCCTACGATAGATGACTTGATACTGCGATGGTCTGTATTTCGGTGTTATATTTTATGATTCAATCCGTAGGAAGCCATTAATTTATGTTCCATGCTAGCAAATATACCCTACTTATGTGTGCCAAAACAAGAGACCTAGTTTTTAGAGCTTTTGTGAGTTGATTCGTGAGATTTATCATCAAGGATAACGTCGCTAAAGTTGTGTGTAGTTGACCGGATGAGATTTCATGGTCAACAACACTTTAATATTCTATGCATATCTCGTAGACGTGACATGCATACATGTCATAAAATGCCAGAGTTACAACTGGTGAAACTTGTTGTCTAACTCAATAAGGGCTGAATACATTGATTGGCTAAATATATGGTTGGAGTCCGATTTCAGGAAGTCATAGGTACTATTCTACAAAGTCAGATTGCCACCAAGAGCTAAAGCATTGCAAGATTTTCAAAGAATTTGGGAATCTAGTAGGCAGTAGGAAAAAAGCTTGAGTGCTTACAGAAATCTGAAATCACATAACATTGAAGACACACATTTCTTACAGAGGTATCCATTTTGTTAAAATTAGTCAAGATGATCATAGTGACTTGATGATAGAGTTCTAAGAATAGCTGCTTTAAAAAAACAGCTAAGTTCTCGATTTGAAATAATGTAGCCGATTTGTAGATCAAGATGGAGATGACAGTGGCTTGGTGTTCTCTGAGCCTCGATATTTTATCGCGAACGTCTCGTCACTAGACTTGGTGACATCTTCAGCACTAACTTCATAAAGAAATGAAGCGTATCCAATTCTTACATAAACGTCTAGATAGTGTTTCTATTGACCTTGGGTGTTGTCCAATTGTAAGCTGGGGAAGAGATTTTTGCCACACGACCTCTTTGACTTCAAATCTCTTTCAGTCACACCGGTAGATAATCTTTATTGGAGTGAAATTGTGCTGTTTGTTGCTATCACACTGTGCATCAAAATTGATTTGTTTGTTGAATTTATTCTTGGTCAATGGATAACTGTTTTTCTCTTTTTCAAAGTAGATTATAGATTGGGTCTATATCTACATGTTTGTAGATTGACTTTTCGTTTGAATGGCAAGTTTCTAGGAATTCTCTTGCAGCTTTTGGACCTGCTCTTTTAAGGATTTCCACATTCTCCCAATCGAATTTATGATCGTGATTGTCTGCATCCACCGCAATCAGGGAGACTACGTCATATCACTTTACTGCTACCTACCCCAGGTAATCTAATTTGCTAATTTCATACTGTAGATACCTCTTCATCCGTATAAACTGGGATATTTAAAAAAATTCTCTTGGCTTATTTTGTCACACAACTTGAGTAACATTATATTTAGCCATTATTCCTCAAATTATCTTTCTTAGTTTATTTCATTCGGCTCTCATAAAGGCCTTCTTATTATTTTATTAAACTGTCATCTTATAGTGCTACATAAGCCGTATAATCGCTTAGAGAATCAATTATTTTGAACTGAATCCCAGAAACAATAGATCCTATTATTAACATACACATAAGACTTCTCTGACTTGACTTCCTCAACTGTTTAATATTATTAACAAACTGATAAACGAAATCTCATTATTGTTGATGCATAATTCCTCATTATGAACACACATAACTATAGAGCTTGAAGAAGAAAGAATATTCTGTTCACTCAAATGACTTTTGAATTATGATGGGAATTTTTAATGGTTTAGTGAATTATGCGTATATATATATATATATATATATATATATATATATATATATATATACATACATATATATATATATATATATATACATTATACATATACAAACTAGGTGTGGGCATGTGACTCTGAATTAGGAAACGGAAAATCAATGTGATTTCACTAGTTCTTTGTAAATAAAAATCAATAGCCTTACTTGACCTAGAAATTCAACACTTGAAGAAAATAGTTTGCTCTAATATTTAATAACATGTAAGTGTGTGAAGAACTGGTATTATTCCTTGATTTCTATATATTTTGGTTCAAAATTATGTTAACATACCATTTTAAAATAAATTATCGAGCAAGGTCAATGAATATTCAATGCACTGAGATCTTCAGATATTTGTTCGAATGGGACACCGATGTTACACTAATCGGTTGTATGTTTCACTACTTTTCTTCTAAAAACTTTCGGAAATACCGACAACTCAGTAGGACGACGTACTTTATCTGAAACTTGTGATGTATTGGTGCAACGTA